ATCTCATTTGTCATTATCTAGGTGTGTAACGTGTTCGGAAGTCGGTTGTAGAGCGTTTATGGACATTCTATCCCCGAACACGTAACAAATACCATTTTACCAGTATAGTAAGAAGCGGTTCGAGCAGGGTCAATCGGTGATGGCTATTAAATTCAAAGTATGTGTGGCACATCGCAAGTGTTTCGGTAGTTCTATATCGTCTTCCGACTCTCCGTTGTTTTTTTCTTCATCAATATCTAAATGTAAAATTTGAAATTCATCTTCTTCTTCGTCAATTTCTTCATCGTCTTCATCCTCATTTTTTTCGCCGAATGCTTTGAAAGCTTTAACGAAGTTACTATCGTTGTCTGTTATTGGTCCCACCAGTTTATTGCCTGTTAAACCAAATTTTAAATTTATATCTTCTAACATTTCAGCTGTTTCTGTACGAGTGACTTCCTTTAAACGTAAAACAAAAATATTAGTTAAATTTTTATTAGTGTTTTCACTGTTTACTACTGTAGTAGAACCGTTGCACGTTTCACTTGATTGTACATTAATTTAATATTTGAAATTTTTCCAACACAACCCAACATATTTTTCTTTTTAAAAATAAAATTATTTGTCCGATATTTAAACGATGTAATGCTAAAATATGAAAAATTTGTGAAAAATGGCATTAAGGCAAGATTTGTATTGCCTGGGCAATCTTCATAAACAATATTGAAGAATGTCATCAGAATAAAGTCATCATTTCATTATTTTTTGAGAAGCGCTCGTGGTAAAATAACTTTCAAATAAGCATTATCATTGAAAATAACGAAATTACGGTTTTTTGTGAAGATCTTTTTGTGGTTAATTTAATTCTCAAATATTGAAGAAAAACTGTCCAATAATGGGACCGAGAAATATAATAAGAAAATAAAAAACAACCCTAATAACTAAATTAACTACATCTAAAAAACTTATTGGGTGGCTGATCTAAAAACATTTAAAGTTACTCACCTTCCACAAGCAATTGCAACTGATTCACGAACAAAGTTTTCATCCAACCAGTGAATGGTAACTCCTAGGAAGCTTCTTTTTTTATTCGACCAAATATCTGCTGTGCTGTATAAGTAATTAATACTCCTGATTTTATTTTTAATTACTTGCAAATTTTCTTTTTGTGACTCCACGATTCGTTTCATTATTTTCTTCCTTGTTGGTATTTTCAAATTTAATCCTTGAAAGATATTCTTGAAACTTTGATGTTCTGTTATAGATATTGCACTCATTGTGTTCACAACGAAATTTTTTATTCTGTTTTCAAATACAGATTGGCTTAGAATTGGTTTGCCACCCTCTTTGGTCATTCCCAAAATGGAAGGTTGAATCAACTTAACTTCTTTGGATTTTTGACTTTCGGAATCTTGAGTTTCATTTGCAAGTCTCTTTCTTTTACAAGATTTCTTTGAACTTTTGTATTTATTATAGTCTTCAATTTTGTTAGGATGGATTCTTTTCAAGTGTTTATAAAAATTTGAAGAAGAATTTTTCATTCCTTTTATTGTTTTTTTCTGTGGAAGGCACAGTTGACAATCAGCTGTAATGTTTTCACCATCATGTACTTCTTGTACATCTAGCCAAACTGTGGATCGTCAGGTTGTTCTTCTATTTGTTTAACGAATAGTGTGGGTGTTGAAGTTTTTGATAAACCACGAACACGGTTTTCATTTTTCTCTTTTGGTTTTAAGAAATTCATAAGAGAATTAGCCTTAGATTTTGGAGGTATAATTCGGCCAGAATCTGAATCTGACAATTTTTCTAGGTGATATTCAGGATCATCTGAACTTGAAACAAATGGATCTTCCAGAGAATGATCCATTTGTTCAATATGAGAACTGTTAGATGCAATTGCAGGATCAGATGAATTCATATTGTTCAAGCTGGAAGTGAAAAAAGTTAGACAGTGACGACAGTGTGTCCAAAAAAAAGGAAGTGACTTATTTCCTTATGGGGGACATACTACGTACTATATGTATAGAACAAAATAGATTTGGTATTTCTTTCATAATTTTTACATTGATTGTTGTAATGTAAAACCGAATTAAGTATGAAAGTTATCCTATATCTATCAATATCAATTAAATTACTTTAATTAGTTTCCAATTTAACTAAACATGGCCATCATCTAAAATTTAGAAAATGTTTCAACAAATATTTATTTAATAATTTGAGTTTCTTATTGTATTTCTTGACTCCCTTTTGATAACCAATAAAATACTTGACTTACCTTAAAAAAATGTAGGTATATTCGAATGTAATGCACACAACTTAACACACATAATGTTTATGAACAGATATATTGCACGATAGACGATAATAATTATAAAAGTCACAGTAACAACCTAAACGACTCTCATCTATGACAACTCAATCATAACTGAGCTAAATGGAACTACCATAAGTTCGTGATCCTTGCAGCAGACAGGATTTTGCAGGATTTTTCCTGTAAAAAAACGTGACGCTAGATGCTGAATCCCGACCGTAAACTGGGTTGGATGAATCATCGCATTCATCGTTCAATATGTAGTTCAAGATCACACATAGCAATATTAAATTTTTTTGTTGAAAAAATGCAGAAAGATAGTAAGACTCTAAGGTAATTATTGAACAAATTACCTATTGCAATTGAGCCATAAATACAGTAATATTGGAAAACTGAAAAACTAAACTTAAAACGAATATTTTATTTTCAATTATACAGAGTGATTAAAAAATGGATAAAAAAATTTTCACAAATGAAATGAATTTTATCAGGGTTCTTTATAAGGACTGGATAGTTGATATGAGAATTATGAAATGGCCACGCACATACGACATAAATTTTAATTCAATGAGATTGATTGGTACTCAGTATCTTTTAGTGAGGTAAGGCGATAAAATCTTTTACCGCCTTACACGTTCTTGAGGATGCTGAACTTCGAGTTTGGGTGTCCCAACCATGTAAAGGGAAGAAAACAAGCCCCAAGTGGGGGTCTACTGCACATTTTTGACATATGAGGAACTCTCAATAACTCATTTTTCGAGGTGGCAAAGTGCTGAAATTGTATTTCACCGTTTTCGAAGATGCCCGACAAAATGCGACAAGATACGCCTGCATAAAATGGGGCTTTTTGGTCTGGTTCTCATTTATCGAATAATTTGAAAGTATCTGAAGATCGAAAAAAGTATTCGGTATTCGGATACTTACAAATTTTGCCACGGATGCGGATACTGAATACAAAATTTGAAAAACATCCGAATACAACTTTCGAATACAAATAAAATATCCGGATACTGTATCCGAATACAGAAGTATTCGGATACTGTATCCGAATACAGAAGTATTCGGATACTGCCCAACTCTGGCACATATTCAACTGATGTAGAGCTATTATCATTTACATTCTGTGACACCCCATATGTTTTAGGGATATTTTTAAATTTTTCGCATAAAAACTATTTCCTGGATAATATATATTGAAATCTATTAAGATCGATATAGATGACCTTCCTAAAAGATCATCACAAAGCCTTAAGAAATCTGAATCACTTGCATTTTGACTTTTACTAACTCACACCAAATATTGTCTTCCATTACATAGGTTTTATATACAGAAAATTCGAAACCGTCTCTGATACTCAGCAACACCCTAGTGTGTGTAGACCTAGGGTCACATCTAGTAACTTCATAATTAGGATAGTACAATTCAGAATCCTCAATCTCTTCAGTTTGACATATTTTCAGTAATACTAATGCAGGTTTGATTACTCGTAAGCAAATTCTAATTCATCCTTGTTAGCCAATATAATGCAAATGTTTCCATATATATATAATGTCAACATTTATAACCACATCATGATCCGATAAACTTGTTTGAAAACAAAATTGTATATTAGTGTTCAAGCCATGTTTTTTTGACTCCACTTATTAACATTTTGTGGCTTGTCATTAATAAATTGTGTGGTTTACTGTTGTCTTCCTATCAGATACTGTTTTGAAATATAAACGCTGTTATTGTTTGATCTTATAATACTTTAATATTTGTGTCTTATTTAGGTGTGTATTCTTTACAACATTTCACATCGTCTGGGCTATTTTATACAACCTTGGCAGGTTTTATCCTAATACAATCTCATTTTGCACTACTTCTTCGATATAATCTGAACTTCTTTCTACTCTCATTTTTATGGTTGATTCGTCTAGATTGAAGATAACTACATTACATTTCATTAGATCGGACTTCCATTGTCTAATATGAAACCACCTTCAAAAATAACTACATTAGATGCACGAGACTGACATTCCATCGTTTCAGAAAGAAAATTTTCTTGTGCAACGGCCGCATTCATACTTGCTTTGAATGCTTTAGCATGTTGATTTCTACTTGCAGTTGATCAATTTTTACAAATAGTTTAGAAATAAGCATGACACCACTTTCAAAGTCATCACAATAATATTCAAAAGTTTTTTCCCTTCAAGATCCATTACTTTAAGTTAACTTGCATTCAATCCCGAACACTATTTATGTATTGACCTTTGACAACTATAGCATGACATTATAAGAGTTGAATCCACTTTATTTATTCTGCAGGCTACACATTCCATGACCAAAAGCAATTATTTTTCTTGGCTCCTGGACTATAAGCAATACTTTATACTATAAGTATATTTCATAATCCTAGGTGATTCGGCTGTCCCCCCTATTTTTTTATGAAATATTTTTTCTGTATCTTTCCTTGTTTAGCATCAAATTTAATTTCTATAGAAATAATTTATATAGCAGAATAACGTTTGTCAGGACAGCTAGTGGGCCTCTAATTTTCGCAAATAGGTTGAGGCTTCAATTTATTGAATTTTGAGAAAGTTGTTCTTGCTACTTGATAACTGTAACTTTTTAATTGAATATACCTGAATTCACCCCAAAAGACTTCATCTAAATCACTAAGCAAGTTGTGTTTGCCATCAGATGTCACTTATATATGTTATATTACAGCAGCAATTGAAAATAGACCAAGTTGTATGGGCAAGACACAAAAATGGAAGGTATTATAAATCAAAAATTGTCGACATCAAATTTGATTCGCAGATGTGTGTTTTTTTTCCTGAGGACCAGAGCTTTTCAAAGGATATTAAGCTGAGTGATATTGTTGACTGGGAAAAAATGAAAACTCCAATAATAGGACAGAGACTGCAAATTCGGTGGATAGACGGGAAAGTATATGATGCTGATTTTATTGGAAAAATGGACACTTATACCTTTATCGTACGTTTTTTCATTTCATTTGAAGCATTTAGAATATTTCAATATTGAGGAAGAACCTACAAAAAAGTTTATTGAACAAGACAGTAAATCTCATATATCCTTTGTCAGCAAAAAATTTTATGTTTGGCCTAAAGTCTCATTCAACTTAAGAAAAAATGGAAGTTTTATTTTTGAATCATGACACTTCTCTGAAAATTATATAAACATATTAGTTACCTTGAATACCTATCTATAGAACATAATTTCAAGATTATCGAAAAGTTTTCATTGATAACGTTGATCTTAAGACAACTTTAAAACTTAAAATATTATTTTTGGGATTGTACTATTGTACAACTAATAACTTGTTAAAAAAAATAAAAGCAATAATATCACTGATTAGGTGATGTGATGGTTGCTTATAATAAAATAATAATACAAATATTTAATGATCACAATGTGTTTAAAATTTTTCCATTATCGGGGATCAGTTTTGTCTTACATTGATATATACTCTAATTTCAGGTCTTATTTGAAGATGAATCAAAAAATCATCTCCAAAGGGAGTACATATATGGTTTGAAAGAGCCCATACCAAAAAGAATCCTTTCAAAAATGGTGAGTAATCATACTGAAATTATACCAAGTTCACTCCCTGCTAAGGCAATAAGTAAATAATTTGAAATACTGTATTTTTCTTCATGTAAACAACAATGATACATTGATTTTGTACTAACTCCAAATAAAGAATAAAGAAACGATTATTTATTATTGGCAAACAAAGTATGGCAGAAGTGTTATCTTTCCTAAAATTGAGTACTACTTTTCACCAGAAATAATAAACCTTTGAAGCTAGGTGTGAAAGTAAGTTTTAAAATTATTGCTGGGCAATCTTTTTGACATATATTTTTCATAGCAGTATTGACTCGTCTGAAATCCAAGTACTGGCAAAAATAATTTCAGATTTTAGCGAACTGGATATTTCAGAATTTTCAGTTTATAGGTGCAACAAATCATGATGAATATAGAAATAAATGTAGGCTTTCACGGCTGGCGTCGATATTTTGATTGGCTTCCTGGTTTTGCCGTGGTCTTTGGTTATAATCTCCAAACGTTTCAACTGCAACTGCAGCAGTCATCTTCAGTGGCGTGGCCGAAGTACTCTTTACGTGTCAACTGAGTTTCAGTTGACACGCTTCCACCACGCCACTGAAGATGACTGCCGCAGTTGCAGTTGAAACGTTTGGAGATTATAACCAAAGAAGACCACGGCAAAACCCGGAAGTCAATCAATACAAATCATGCTAAAATACTTATAAGAGTCAGGGTGTTGGAATTTTGATTGTTGTTGAAAACTTTTTTTATTGAAAAACCAATTATACTGAAAAATTATAGAATTTTTCATTATTTGTGGTTATTACTATATAATAGAAATTATATTGTGGGTGGCATGTATATTGTTACTCTTATACCACAGAACAAATTTGAATCGTCACATTTTCCCAGATGGTTTTTGTCAGAGCATTATTATAATACATTTTCCGAACTATGTGATAAGTGAAAAAATGTTATCAGTATTTGAATAAAGATATTTTCAATAATGCCATTTGATTTTGCAAACATGTTAACAGTATGAGAAAAAAATTGCTTAATTCCTTATATCCTAACAATATTTTCAACTATTGATATGGATTTCGTTAATCTTTTTGTAAAATTTTTTCTACTGTCTTCTCTAATAATTCAATAAAAATCAAACCAGTCCATAAAAATAACCTAGTTGGTATTCCAAACATTGAAGTCATATTTTTTTCTATTCAGTTTTTTTAAATATCTGGAAAACCGCTTTATAATCTATATTTTCAAGTCAGGAGATAGGGCGGGTGTGAGAAATATAAGATATACCTCTTTAATTCGTATTACCTAATCTTTTGTGTAAAATTGCTAACAGACTGTAGTCATGGTTTTGTAACCCAGTTATAATTTAAAAAACCTAATTAATTACGAGCAGTTTGTTAATTGCCCTGGAGAATGGGCAGCAAGTAGTTTCCATTGATACATTCCCTAATTGTAAAAACTAATAAATGCTATTAAAATAATCTTTTCATTAACAGAAAAACCACATTTGCTCACTCGTTTTATTGGAAAACTGAAGTAGTCATTTTAATTCACATACTGACTATAATTTTCTAATATCGACACTGATTTATACGCAAGGGAAACAACGCACGGAGTCAAAAACATGAGCCAATCGCACATTTGTAGTTCCAGTTAGAAGACCTAGAATTCCCAAGCTACATCTAACAACACCACGTAGGCAGCTATAGCTGACCTGCGTGCGTGCTTGATACAAATCAAAAATGAAACAATTCGTGGACACAACACTCCAAAACACCCAGTATGTTATTCTACCATTTTGAAGAATACTTAATTCCTACAATTTTTGTTAATATGACTTAGCCCCTAAAATTGACAAATTTTGTGAAATTTGCAATTTCATTTTATTTCGATTAAAACTGCGTGTTTATCATTTAAATACTTACAAAATTCAAGCACTAACAGTTTTCCATAGGTTAATGCCCCGTACAAAACGCTCACTTTATTATACCTACATAAAATAATACTAACAGGTTGCTTGTTAACTGGTTCATGGTGCGCAAATAAATGTGTCATGCGCAACTCAGTAATGCAAGTGGTGTTTCTTGTGTGTGCCATGTGCAATTAAACTGTTATCACAGTGGGCTATGAATTTGACATTCAATGATCGATAAGTTTTAGCATAAAACAAAAATTACTAACAATACAGTTTTGTATCTATCGTTTTATAATAAGATAATAGCATTTGAAATGAATTTCTCAACCGAAGAATCGACCGATATGATTTTTGTACTGGGGGCAAGTGATAAAAACTATTTATTAGCCACCAGACTGAACGATATCCAGACAGGCGACAACTCAGAAAATTTGCTTCTTTGATTTACTCGAACATATCTTGCATAGAGAAATATCCAAACAAATTGACATAAGCCGGACTGTCATACAAAGAGTTTTAAAAAAGAATAAGTTTGTGACAAAATGGTTAAGGCTTTCGCGACCAAGGTTTTTAGTGTCACTATTTTTCGGGTTCGAAGGCCGTGGACTTTTGGAATTTCTTCCTAACGTTTCGTTGGTGCGAGTGGCTAGCTTCTTCTTCAGAGGTTTATCTGATGACTCGGATATTATTCCAGGATCCGCACCGGGTTCAGTTGCATCAAGAGTTATTAGATGATGATTTTGAGAAAAAAAGTAACATTTTGTGAATAGGCTCTGCAACAATTGCTACAAGACAAATATTTTTTAAATTGTGTTTTATTTTCCGATGAAGCAACATTTTATAAAATGGGTTTGTAAACAGACATAATTTCCATTATTATTCAACAGATAACCTCTCTTTCTTTTGAACCACCAGTCAGACAAAGTGGTCCCTAAATGTATGGGGCGGCATAATTGGAAATTTTATCCTTTGGCCATGTACCATAATTTAAAGAAGGTCTCAAATACTAAGGGCAAAAAGGAGTGGAGGTTTCAAATATTACCGAACAAAGTATTACAAAAATTTAATTTGTCTCGAATGTTTAAGTATTTTCCATCCTCCGTGTTTAGAGAGATAAATATAGGTAGCAATAAAATATATTGCTCTGTGTAAAAAAGAAGTTGAAAGAAATTGAATAATTCAATCAAAATTAATAATAATAATAATAATAATAATCGTCTTTATTGTTACCCAGCTGTAGTTACATATAAATATTTAAAAAAATTAGAGAGCTAGTTGCTGACATAACAAAAGGCGAAGTTCAACTTAGTTAGCACAAGTGCTACTGAGTTGTTCAGTTGTTCAGTTGATCAAGCTATGCACAGCCTGGTTATTCATAGAGACGTTCATATGAAACGATCAAAGCAAAATTTTGAAATTGACTTGCTAGACTGCAAAATATCATTTGAAAGTGAAATAAGTAAAATGAATACTTTATTTCAAAAACTAAAAGAAAATATAGTGAAAATGAAATCTGAGAACAGTGAACTAATGAAAACAATTCAGAAAGAAAAAACAACTTGAAAGATACGACATAGAAGTGATAAAACAAATCAACCGATGTTTGCTTAGAAACCTGACAAACATGAAGATACAAATATAAAAACTAGCCAACAAGAAATAGAAGACAAAAACTGCATTGGAAGTGATGACTTATGATCCCCAATGTAACCGTAATATGTGGAAAGATAATGATGAAAACGAAAAAATATTAGTAGTCTCTGGATATTATGGCAGAGGTATTACTGACTTGCTAACTAGGCAAACAGAGGAATTTTCAGTTTAATCTGTCATGAAACCAAATGAAAATTATATAGAGTTGGTAAATACTGCATGCCAACTAAGAATTTCACCAAAAATGATTTCATAGTTTTGTGGTCTCTTAGTGGAATATTTATTTGGTAAATCCAAATACATGTGTTATTATTATCGAAAAACCATATAGATATGATATGAATACAAGTCAGCTCATTTAAAATAATCCACGTGGTACATGGCAAACAAATTCCTTATATCGACGGCAATAATATTTTCAGTAGAAAAAATTAGTTAAGAGAAAATTACAGCTTGAACAGAACCAATATTTAATGACAAAGTCAAGAAAAGGTTCAATAAGGACAAAAGAATGCAAGAGAGTGCAAGATATGTTAAAAAAGAATCAGTATATCTCTGGGACTCATGCTGAAAGTAGGAAAATCCCCAAGGAGCCTGTCATATCGATCACTATCTCGAAAAAGAACTCAAATAATATATTTTTAAAAAAACTTACCCAAACTATCAATATATTCAGAGTTTTCGAACATACCGTCAAAAAGAAATGAATTTGATGAATTGTAACATTTCATGGCATAGTATTACTGACAGGACACAAACCAGTGAATTGAGCTATGTGGGAAACTATACCGGGTGATTCTCTATGGTGGCTCACCCCTATAACTTTTTCATTTTTGGAGATAGAAAAACGAAATTTTGGGGTTGTGTATTATAGTTCAATTTACATTTTTTGATATATTTACTTGACTTGCCGTACTTCTGGTTTGACCGGAAATTATCCCAACTTTCGATTTTTAAATGGGACATCCTATATATTTTTACCTATTTCCATCGAGATTGACATTATAAATCCAACAATACTTCACTTGTCAATATTTGACAAATAAAATCATTATTATTCCAATTTTTATTTTTTTATCTAGAATGCCATGGATTGTGTAAATCACTTCATTCTTGATCAAGTAGCATGGGAAAACTACGACTTTGAGGCTTATGACTTCACAGTCGTTTTAAGAATTATTTCACAGTAACAGAATTATTTTCCAGTTAACTTGATTTTTTCTTACGAATAATTTGATGCCACAGTTTCACTTTACTTTCTCTATTTTTCTGAATAATTGCATGAAAGTCACAAATTAGTCTATTAAGGTTATACATTTTCAAAATTGCCTCCTCCTTGATCACGGCAAAGTTCAACTTTTTCAGTTGTTGCGCGCATCACATTGATTAGCTGTTCCTTAGTGATGTTCTGGAATGCCAACCTTACTTTATACTC